TGGCTACCAAGGCACCATAACCTGGCTGGGGTGAGAGTACCATGTACACGCCGCGGGAAGACAAGTTACTTCACAATCTAATACCCTTAAAGGGGGGGAGGGGGCGTCCTCATATTTGTCAGGGGTTGTAAATCCGAGAAATTAGAGTTGCCCTCCCCCACCTCGGAGTAAACTAGTTTATCTGCCGACTCCTGCAATTATGACTCTTACAAGTTTAGCGCTTCTCCATTAATTTACTAATATTTATTCTTTTACACAGTTGGTTTTGAAGGTTTGAAAGAACACAAATACACACACACATTTACACTGGTCACAGAGTTGTCAGGAGTGGAACAATCTGGGAAGCGATGTGGAGGCAGGATCCACATACAGCTTTAAGAAGAGGTACGATAAAGCTCTTGAAGCAGGGGCACAGTGGACCTAGTAGCAACTAGTGAAGAGACGGGGCCAGGAGCTATGTCTCGACCCCTGCAACCACAAACAAGTGAGTACATGCATAAGTTTTACGTGAAACCGAGGGGAATAACAACAGGTGGGGCTGTATGAAGGGTCGTTTGACCTCCACCACCCCCCTTTTGCGTTTCTCTCTCTCTCTCTCTCTCTCTCTCTCTCTCTCTCTCTCCGTGCTCCCTCATCTGACCTCCACTCCAAGACTGGTCGCACACTCCTCCTTGAGCCATCAATGTGTGCAGCAGTGTTTGGTAGTATTAGCTCTCCACGCTGCCTGCCACCCACCTCTCATAATTCCATTCATCTCATCAGCTCCTCCACCTCCGCCTCATTCGCTCATTCACTTACCTTCCTTTCATTTCTTCTCTTTCGCGGAAAAAATCGCAAAAAGTGTGGATTAATTTGGCTTTTCCCTCTCCTGGTGTTTTTAGGAGAGGCCTTGGAGGCGGGCGTGGGTTTACTTGGGATGGGTTTACCCTCTCGTAGAATTTATACGAGAGGTCTTGGAGGAAGGGGTGGGTGCTCTCTGGTAATGGAGAAGGGTATGGTAGGTCTTCCTTATAGCTGTTTTTAGAGGAGAGGTCTTCTCTGAAATTGTGCCTGTCGAGGTGGGGAACTGGTCTTGGAGGTGGGAAAGGGGTCTTGGAGGTGGGAAAGGGGTTTTGGAGGTAGGAAAGGGGTTTTGGAGGTAGGAAAGGGGTCTTGGATGTGGGGAAACTGGTCTTGGAGATGAATGAGTTGATCTTGGAGGTGGATGAGTTGATCTTGGAGGTGAGGGAACTGGTCTTGGAGGTGGGAGGAGAAGCATGTATTTTCAGAAGCTGCTGCGTTAATGTACTGCCTACTGTATCCCCCTCCATTCATGTATATGCAAGCATTCATGCATACACGAACATACGTTATACCACACACACACACACAAATTGCCTATACCTTTCATCTATAATGATCAAGCCTGTCTGACTCTTCGACATGCTCTTACCTGTGTCCTTTCATTTATCACCTCCCTCTCAATCTCTCTCTCTATGTTAGTCACGCTGCGAAACTTGGCCATAGTTTTTTAGTCTCCCTGACTCTTTCTTTCACCTTCTCGGTCTATCTATAACGTAACTTTTTATTTCTCTTTCTCACTATCTTTCATTCCACTCTCTCTCTCTCTCTCTCTATCCCTCGCCCTCTCCTTAACTCCCCTTCACCTCTCTTATTTTATCCTATCTCTTCCCTCCCCCTGATCTTTCCTTCCCCTCGCTTGAAACAATATCTCTATTTTTGCTGCTATCTTCCCTCCCTATATGCCATCCCCCTTTCTCTTTTCTTCTCTCTGCCAGTTCCTTCCCTCTGTCCCTCCTTTCCGTACTTCCTCTGCTAGTTCCTTCGTTCTCTCTATTTCCTCTGCTAGTTCCTTCATTCTCTCCCTCTATTTCTTCTGCTAGTTTTCCCTACAAGTTCTCTCCCTCCCTCTGTCTAGGGACCCGTGTCAGTTCCTTCGTTCTTTCTACCTCCTCCCTCCCACCTCCCTGCCTCGTTCCCTTTACTTCTCCCTCTCAGTTCCACCCTCTCCCTCTCGTCAAGTATAAATTATATCAATCAAATAAAACCAACCAACCCAGAGGGGGTTTTCAATGTTTAACTTTTGTTAAACTCCCTCCCACAAGTGTACCCTCTTCCTGCCCTCATATCCTTCCCCTCTCCCTCTCCTTCACGCACTCCCTCACACACTATTCCCCATCACACACACTACCTTAATACACTCTCCCCCACACACGCCTTCGCATACATTCCCTCACATTCTAGCATTCCACTCTTCCCCATACACTCCCTCACATCCTCTCCCTCACACACCCTCCCTCACATTAGGGTGCGTCCAACGCCCCAGGGTTGAGCACCGTGGTTGCCCCTAGACGTCAAATGTTCCATATACTCTCAATATTGATCCTGATAAGCGTTAGTGTACAATTGGAAAACCTGCGCAAAACAACAGCTAAAATCACAACAGTAGTAGTGAGCTACTTGTAACTAATTTTATCAAATAGAATCATATTTTCTTCAATTTTATCTACATAAAGTGATTTACAGCAAAACAATAACATGTTAAAAATAACTGCCTTTTTATTTTCCTATTAATAGGTCACTGATTTTTTGGGGTTATCCTCAGTAATTTACACTGATAATTGTACTTATGTGTACCTGTGACTAAATAAATTTACTTATTTACTTATTCTCTTATTCCTGCTCAAGACAGCACTGTGAAACTGTATTGTGATTTTTGTATCTCACTTTTTTTTTTAATTGACTTTTACTTGACTGGTGGAGCACAGAGATGGGGTCGAAACTTTTCTAAATTTTGTGGCAAATTTTTCGTTCAATAAATGGAACGAAAGTAACACACGGGACAGAATGTTCCCTAACAAATTTAAAATTTAAAAATGATGGGGCGTTTGATGCACCCTTCCTCACACCCTCTCCCTCACACCCTCTCCCTCACACACTCTCCCTCACACACTCTCCCTCACACACTCTCCTACATACATCGTCTACATTCATACACTCTTCCTAACGCCATCTCCCTCACACACACTCCCTCACCCTGTCCTCATTCTCTTCCACACACATCCCTCACATACCCCTTTACACAATTTCCTTCACATACTCTCCCTCATACATTCTCCCTTCACCTTCGCCCCCTCACTTTCTCATCCTTTATCTCTCCCCTCGCATCTCTCATTGCTCTCGTTCCCCTGTTTCTCTCTCCTCTCCTCCTATCCTACTCCCTTTTCTGTCTCCCATTCTACCTTTAGGCAGTCTCTCTCTCTCTCTCTACATCCTATTCTTTTACCTTCTATGCTCCTCCCATCCATTTTTATTTAATTAACGCAATTCTTGATTTAATTAATTATACTTTAAATATTTTTAACTGCGGGTAAATTTTCAATAATTCTTATATATATATATATATATACATATATATATATATATATATATATATATATATATATATATATATATATATATATATACGTATATATATATATAAAAGATTACAGAAGACTTCACATATGACCTCATATAGGACCCTATTCACTGAGCGTGGGAGTGTAGTGAACATTTAGTCAGGTCACATGTAAAAAAAAATTAAAGTGCGACATGTCGGGCATAGTTTAAAATGCTCACAAATTCTATTCAATGTAAATTAATCTAATTTATACAGCCCAGAAGTTATATTCATATTGCAATCAATACTATTTTGTATGAAGCTTGATTCAATTATATTTCACTCGACCATGGACTTGCTTGATACAACCTTTTCGGCCTTTCAAAACCAATTGGATGGTTAATATCTCTCATAAGAATATTCAGAGCATTACTCATATCCAGCTCTAATGCTATATTTATGTTGTTGAAATCCTAGTTCAACTCTTTTTTCCAGTTTGACCATAAAATGAATGTATATATATATATATATATATATATATATATATATATATATATATATATATATATATATATATATATAATATATATATATATATATATATATATATATATATATATATATATATATATATATATATATATATATATATATATATACGCAAAACAACCACTCTGAAAGAATAGAGAAATTCCAAGCGCTTTCGTGACTACTCACATTATCAAGGAACTATGAAAGTAAAGCATCCAAGGAAGCTATATAAGGGGTCTGGCCAACACCTCACTATCAGATCCCACAACGGTTAAACACCTGACGCGCGCCGACCCAACTGGACAGGTCCTTCGCACAACTCGCCCACAAACTATTCTACCCCAAAAAATTTTAAAATTATTATTTGTCCAGTGTATTATTAAATTCTTCCCAAATTCTATTAATTATAAATTAGATCCATTTATAATCACTGTTTTTGCAGAGGTGCTCAGAATACAACAGTTTAGAAGTATATATCATGTCCAAATAAAAAATTATTATTATTGTTATAGTGCTGTGGTACAGTGGTTCATGACAGTGCTGTGGTACAGTGGTTCATGACAGTGCTGTGGTACAGTGGTTCATGACACAGTGATGTGGCACAGTGAGTCATGATACAGTGTTGTGGTACAGTGGTTCATGACAGTTTATGGTACAGTGGGTCATGAGTGGTATGGTACAGTGGGCCCTTTCTCTCGCTATTTATTCTCTATTCCACTCTATTCCACAGACTTTTTTAAATCGTCTATCTCAACTTCTTTTACTGTGTGTGTTGGCCATGCTGAATTATACAAACTCTTGTCGTCAGTATTCAAACTTCACCTTCCCCACTTCTCTCGTTTTTGACTCCCTCTTATCTTCTCTTTCACCTTTGCCCTATCTGTCTTTTCTTTTCAACTTCTCTCCTCCCTCTTCTTTCCCTTCCTACGCCACCCAATTATTTTTCCTCCACTCAAAGGCTCTTTCCCTAGTCTGTTTGTATTATACCTTCACACTCTTTACCCCCCTCTCTCCCTCTTTCTCACTATTTACTCATTCCCCTCCTTTCCTCCCTCCCCTCGCTTCTCTCTCTCTCTCTCTCACTGAC